GAGGTCGTCAGTCAGCGCGACCAGTACAGTCTCCACCCCGTGACCGGGGCAAAACCTGGACTGGTGGGGATCGAGGACAGAAGCATCATCCAGAAATGCCTGCAGCTGTGTTGCCACCGCTCTCTCTATCAATTTGCCCAAATAGGGCAAATTGGACACCGGCCGATATTTGGCCAATTCAGCCGGGTCTAAAGATGGCTTTTTCAGGAGAGGGCGGACCATCGCTTCCTTGAGTGCCCCGGGGAATCGTCCCTCCAAGAGGGACTTGTTAATAATCTCCCGCAGGGCACCTTGAAACCCCTCACGACCCATCTTGATGAGCCACGAGGGGCACGGATCAAGGTCGCATGTGGTTGGGCGCACTACTGCAAGCAATCTGTCAACTTCTTCCAGGCTGAGTGGGCAGAAACTCACTAAACCCAACTCCAAAGACGTGCAAAGGGCCTCAAGTTCACTTACTGTATCAATTGTCACGGGGAGGTCACGGCAGAGAGCCAAGACTTTCTCTGCAAAATAGCTCGCAAATGCCTCACAGCCGATATCCAATTCCCTCACATTTTGTCTGCCCTGTGGCAATGTTGTCAATGACCGAATCGTACTAAATAATTGTGCCGGGCGTGAGCTAGCAGATGCAATCCTGGCCGCAAAGAACTCCCTCTTTGCGGCCTTGACTGCCATCTGATAGGCCTTCATAAACGTCCTATAAGATGCTCTTGACGCCTCGTCGCGAGCTCGGCGCCACCGTCTCTCTAGTCGTCTCAGTTCTCGCTTCAGCTGGCGCAACTCCTGGGTATACCAGGGCGCCTGCCTTACCCGAGTCCGGAGAGGACGCCTGGGAGCAATCTCATCAATGGCCGCGGAGAGCCGGTCGTGCCAGTCCTCCAGTAGCTCATCCAACGAGCTGCCAGGGGGCTTCGGCTCCCGCAACACCATCTGAAGCCGCATCGGGTACATTTGGCCTTGCGGGCGAGCAAAAATCCGCTCGCCACCTAAGCGGGGTTGGGGTGGCACATTCAGACGAGCCTTCAGGGCCTGGTGGTCCGACCATGGTACCGCAGTAGCAGTAATCCGGTCCACCATTACTCCAGCCACAAAGATCAGATCAAGCATATGACCGGCCCGATGCGTGGGGGCCGTGATGACCTGAGAGAGTCCCATTGCCGCCATGGACGACACTAGGTCCGCAGCCCGGCTGGAGGTCGCGTCCTCAGCGTGGACGTTGAAATCACCCACGACTAACAGCTGAGGGTGCTCCAA